GGCCGGCCGCTCGGCCTCCGTGCGGGCGCGATCTGCGGAATACGCCGCTGCGGTGCTGGGGGAGGGCGCGCGTCCGTCCACGCCCGGGTCCCCGAGACCATCCACGCCCGGCCCCACGTCCACGCCCGGCCCCGCGTCCATCCACTCCCGGGCCCTGCGTCCGTCCACGCCCGGCCCCGCGTCCGTCCACGCCCGGGCCCCCGCGTCCATCCACGCCCGGGCCCCCGCGTCCATCCACTCCCGGCCCCGCGTCCGTCCACGCCCGGGCCCCCGCGTCCATCCACGCCTGGGCCGCATGTCCATCCACGCCTGGCCCCCCTCTTCCCCCCCCCACCCCCCACCCCCCCCACCCCCCGCGCTTCCATCCAAGCTCCGGCCGAGCAGCACATCCCCGCCCGGGCGCGGCCTCGGAACCGGGTTGGAGGAATGGCCCGCGGCTGGGTACCTGACCCGCGGCGGTGGGTGGGGTCAGGGCCAGGCCCTTGCCCCCGCCGGGTCACTGGACTCCTTCGGAGACCGTTTCCTCTCCGGTGGAGGTGCGCTGCGGAGCGGGCGGGCGGGGACCCGGCGCCGGCGGAGGGGGTGGGGGACGGGCTGGGTGGCGCCTGCAGTGCTCCCCCGTGCAGCCCGGTGCGGGCCGGGACAGTGCTCCCCCGTGCAGCCCGGTGCGGGCCGGGACAGTGCTCCCCCGTGCAGCCCGGTGCGGGCCGGGACAGTGCTCCCCCGTGCAGCCCCCGTGCGGGCCGGGACAGTGCTCCCCCGTGCAGCCCCCGTGCGGGCCGGGACAGTGCTCCCCCGTGCAGCCCCCGTGCGGGCCGGGACAGTGCTCCCCGGTGCAGCCCGGTGCGGGCCGGGACAGTGCTCCCCCGTGCAGCCCGGTGCGGGCCGGGATAGTGCTCCCCCGTGCAGCCCGGTGTGGGCCGGGACAGTGCTCCCCCGTGCAGCCCCCGTGCGGGCCGGGACAGTGCTCCCCCGTGTAGCCCCCGTGCGGGCCGGGACAGTGCTCCCCGGTGCAGCCCGGTGCAGGCCGGGACAGTGCTCCCCCGTGCAGCCCGGTGCGGGCCGGGATAGTGCTCCCCCGTGCAGCCCGGTGTGGGCCGGGACAGTGCTCCCCCGTGCAGCCCCCGTGCGGGCCGGGACAGTGCTCCCCCGTGCAGCCCGGTGCGGGCCGGGCCAGTGCTCCCCCGTGCAGCCCCCGTGCGGGCCGGGACAGTGCTCCCCCGTGCAGCCCGGTGCGGGCCGGGACAGTGCTCCCCCGTGCAGCCCCCGTGCGGGCCGGGACAGTGCTCCCCCGTGCAGTCCGGTGCGGGCCGGGACAGTGCTCCCCCGTGCAGCCCCCGTGCGGGCCGGGACAGTGCTCCCCCGTGCAGCCCGGTGCGGGCCGGGACAGTGCTCCCCCGTGCAGCCCGGTGCGGGCCGGGACAGTGCTCCCCCGTGCAGCCCCCGTGCGGGCCGGGACAGTGCTCCCCCGTGCAGCCCGGTGCGGGCCGGGACAGTGCTCCCCCGTGCAGCCCGGTGCGGGCCGGGACAGTGCTCCCCCGTGCAGCCCCCGTGCGGGCCGGGACAGTGCTCCCCCGTGCAGTCCGGTGCGGGCCGGGACAGTGCTCCCCCGTGCAGCCCCCGTGCGGGCCGGGACAGTGCTCCCCCGTGCAGCCCGGTGCGGGCCGGGACAGTGCTCCCCCGTGCAGCCCGGTGCGGGCTGGGACAGTGCTCCCCCGTGCAGCCCCCGTGCGGGCTGGGACAGTGCTCCCCGGTGCAGCCCGGTGCGGGCTGGGACAGTGCTCCCCCGTGCAGCCCCCGTGCGGGCCGGGACAGTGCTCCCCCATGCAGCCCCCGTGCGGGCCGGGACAGTGCTCCCCCGTGCAGCCCGGTGCGGGCCGGGACAGTGCTCCCCCGTGCAGCCCCCATGCGGGCCGGGACAGTGCTCCCCCGTGCAGCCCGGTGCGGGCCGGGACAGTGCTCCCCCGTGCAGCCCGGTGTGGGCCAGGACAGCCTGAGACCTGCGTGTTCCCAGGGCGGCAGGAGGAGCGGCGTAGCTCGCTGTCCCGGCCTTGCAACCTGGAGAACAGAATCACACGCACCCACCACCAATCGGCAGGTCACGTGATCAGCAGCTGTAAGTCGGTCTCTAAGTCTGACTGAAGTACCTCCTGCTGCTGTCAGCCTAGGCACTCGGGAGAGTTCTGGGCAGGTTCCCTTCTGCCCTCAGCCACCCGGGAGGTTCCCAGGTCCCAGAGGCCACCTCTGGGAGCAGAGATCAGAAAGGTGCTTCAGGTGGTGTGTTCAGGACTCTTTCCAGCATCCCTCCTCTTGGGCAGATGTTGATGTCCTGGTCTTGAAGTTTTCAGCTGTCTCGGTGGGGCCTCCACAGGTCTGGAGAAGGCCTAAATGTGCAGCCCTCAAAGACAGCAGGGAATGAGGTCAGCCTGCAGAACTCCATGGGCCAGGAGCACCTCTGCCTGGACCTCACAGGGCAGTGTCCTGTAGAGGCCCTGGGCCGGCCAGGGCATAGCGGGGAAGGGGGGCAGGACCCCAGGAGCTCCACAGAGCAGTGTGACCACATGCTGGTGGGGATGGAAGGAGGCCTCCAGCCTCTGCCTGCCACCCAGGCCTGGTCCACATCCACCCCTGAGGACCCGTCCTGCCCTCCTCCAACTAGGCCAGCTTTGCCTGGCCCTTCCATTGACCCAGCTAAGGCCAGTGATGGCCTGCCCTCTGCCCCCCATCCATAGGCCAGGGTGCACGGAGGTCTGATGAGGCCTGCCATCCAGAGGTGCTCTGCCCCATCCCCTTTCTGGCCTCCAGAGGTGCTGCTGGGTAGCAGTGGGCTGGCATCTCAGCACCTTGGTCCCTCACGGCCTGCTCTTTCCTGAGAGCCTGCCTGAGTAGGAACAGGGGTGGGGACACATTCCTGGATCCTCCCCTACCTGGTGCCCCCGAAGCCCGTGTGTGGAGCTAGTGGCTCCACCAACAGGCTATAGCTTGGAGAGAAGGCTACCCCAGGAATCAGGCTGATGCTGGCCACATATGTGTCCAGGGATGTGCTGTGTGGGAGAAGGTTGTGGAACTGGCACCTGTGGTACGTGTGTGGGGACCTCGGGAGCGTAAGGACATGTGGGCACGAAGGTTTATGCGTGTAACTGCTGAGCTCTCCTGTGCTGCATGTATGTGCACACATTTGCACGTGAGTAGTTGCACATAGCAGTGTAGATGTTTGGGAAGGAGGGGGTGCCTGTCCGTGTGCAAACCCACGTGGGCCTGGACAGGTAAAGAGCAGCTGTCAGGCCAGCTCTGTTGTGGTAATGACGCCCTGCAGTGGGGCTGCCCCGGCCTCCCTAAGGGGCCTGACCTGAGCCGAGCCTCCTTCCCGCCTTGGACTTGAGATTTGCCATCTCCTGAGGGCCTAGGGCTCTGCCTGCAAGGCGTTGGGGCGATGGGACTCCCTCCCACTCACCGCAGTCTTGGGAAGGGCAGAGTCAGAGCCACTTTCCCCCTGAGGACTCGCTCAGAGTCCATATGACTGTTGTAGCCCCACTGACCTGTTCAAAGCGGACGGGACACCTATGTGCCCCAGCCCCAGCCCACCGTGAGCCACGGTGCTCTGTGAGACCAGAACCGCCTGAGGTCCTCCCAGAGACCAGTAAACAGTGCAGAGGCCTCCTTCCTCTTCCTGCCCCAGGGGGCTTGTCCTGCAGAAGGACACTGCAGTGCTGGGAAGTCCGGGGCTGTGGGCTAGGATCGGCACTGCCCCCCAGCTGTGGGAGCCTGCGCTGCGGGCGGCCTGCTGGCTCTGCCCAGTAGCCAGTGCAGTGGCGGCGGTGGGGCAGCTGCCCCGTTGCCTGGCACCTCTGCTGTTGCCATGGCAACAACAAGGTGCTAACTTGCTAATGAGTCCCCTTGGCTGCACAGAACAATACTGCCCGTGGTTAATAGGGCCTGGCTACAGCTTCAGGGTTCCCTGGCGGGTAGGGTGCAGCCAGGTACCAAGCTTGTGAGCCCTTCTGCCCACCCCTCCATGCCCTGCTCATACCCCTCAGCACAGCATGCCCTCCCAGTCCTTCCCCGTGGCTCTCGGGCTCTTCCCTGCACTCCAAGGCCTCCCACGTGATGGGGTGGGTGTCTCCCAACTGGACTTCCCCTCCAGCTTCCCTTGGGGCAGCTGAAGGGCTGGCAGCACTGAGACGTGGAGCCCCACACACACCCCCAAACCATGTGGTACCCTGCCCTCTAGCCTTCTAGAGCCCACAAGCAAGTGGAAGCAGCTCCAACCACCCCCTGCCAGGGTCCAGGTTCTTGGTTTAGGGAGTCGCCCTGCAGATTAGTTTCTGGGGTCTGGCCACACAGCACTGTCCAAGAGCAGGGAGAGCAGGTCTAAGGGCCACTGGCTTGGAAGAGGACTGGCTGAGGACAAGTTCTGCACCCTGCCTCACCAGGAGGCTGGGTGGGAAAAATGCAAGGGCCAGCAGGGCAGAGGGTCTGGAAGGCAGGAGAATAGATGCACCTAGGGGTCCCGAGGAAGGACCTGAGGGCTGGATGAGGTTTCTCCCAGGCACTGTCCCACAGGATGAGTCTTTGCTGTGTGTGTCTGTGCACACATGCACCAATATACCAATTCTGAGGCTTGAACTTAGGGCCTCAGCATTCATCCCTGAGCTTTTTCACTCAAGGTTGGCACTCTACCCTTGAGCCACACCTCCACTTCTGGGTTTTGGTGGTTAATTGGAGGTGACTGTCTCATGGACTTCCCTGGCTTGGCTAGCTTTAAACGGAAATCCTCAGATTCAGCTGCCTGAGTAGCCAGGATTGTAGGCATGAGCCACCTGCTTGGATGACCCCTCCCTGTGGAGGGGGAGCCCACGTGTGCATGTCAGGGTCCTCCCAGGGGCCACTGGGAGCCTGCAGCTGCAACCCAGGGCCCACCCGTGCCTGACCGTCCGCCTCTCCCTCAGGTCTGGGCCATGCACTAGGGCACTGCACACACTGCAGGCTGCGTCCTCCAGGAGCCACGCTGCCCGCTGCCCGCTGCCCCACCATGGCAGGGGACCGGCTTCCACGGAAGGTGATGGATGCCAAGAAGCTGGCTAGCCTGCTGCGTGGTGGGCCCGGGGGCCCTCTGGTCATTGACAGCCGTTCCTTTGTGGAGTACAACAGCTGGCACGTGCTGAGCTCCGTCAACATCTGCTGCTCCAAGCTGGTGAAACGGCGGCTGCAGCAGGGCAAAGTGAGCATCGCGGAGCTCATCCAGCCAGCCGTCCGCAGCCAGGTACCCCCCCCCCCCGCTGCGCGTGCCCCCCCTGCGCGTGCCCCCCCCCGCTGCGCGTGCCCCCCCCGCTGCGCGTGCCCCCCCCGCTGCGCGTGCCCCCCCCCGCTGCGCGTGCCCCCCCCCGCTGCGCGTGCCCCCCCGCTGCGCGTGCCCCTCCCCCCCGCTGCGCGTGCCCCCCCCCCGCTGCGCGTGCCCCCCCCCCGCACCTGACCACCTCCCCCCCCCGCTGCGCGTGCCCCTCTCCCCCCGCTGCGCGTGCCCCTCCCCCGCGCCTGACCACCTCGCCCCCCCCCCCGCTGCGCGTGCCCCCCCCCCGCTGCGCGTGCCCCCCCCCGCTGCGCGTGCCCCCCCCCCGCCGCGCGTGCCCCTCCCCCCCGCCGCGCGTGCCCCTCCCCCGCGCCTGACCACCTCCCCCCCCCCCCGCTGCGCGTGCCCCCCCCCGCTGCGCGTGCCCCTCCCCCCCTGCGCGTGCCCCTCCCCCCGCTGCGCGTGCCCCTCCCCCACCCACCCCCCGCTGCGCGTGCCCCCCCCCCCCCCCCCCCGCGCCTGACCACCTCCCCAGCACACCCCATCATCTCGGGAGCCAACAGCTGAGCTACTGGGGGGGGCGGGGAGAGGCAGGGGTCCTTGGTATCACAGCTGGGGGGGGGGCTACTGGGAGACCAGACCCTCCACACAGTGCTGCTCAGACGGGCCTTTGTCTCTGAGGACAGGAAAAGTGGGGCCAAGTGTGCCCAAGCCCAGAGGGCGGAATACTGAGTGGGTGAGGAGGTTCAGAGACAAGCAGGGTCAGCAGAGGGGTCAGTTCCCTGTGCAAGGGACCCAGAGCCAGTTCCCTGTGCAGGGGATCTGCAGTGTCACCTGAGCAAGGGACCCAGGACTAGTTACCTGTACAGGGGACCTGCCGAGTCACTTCTGCGAGGGACCCAGGACTAGTTATCTGTGCAGGGGGCCTGGGGCCAGTTACCCCTGCAAGGAACCTGGGGCATTACCTGTGCAGGACCCCTCACCCCCTCTGGGGAGGTGGGGAGGGGGCATGCCAATCAGCAGCAGGAGGTTTGGGGAGGGGTTCAGGTGCAGCCCTGCCCACCAGCCAAGCTGGGACAGGAGAGGAGGGGGGGATGGTCGCTGTTCAGGAATCCCCTGCTCTAAGGACAGAGCCACCCCCCTGCAGTTCCAACAAGGAAGGGGAATCCGGTGATTAATCACCCCCAGGGAGGCTCCGGCCAGGGTGTGATCCTATTGGCTGCCGGTGACATCATCCAGCCCAGGGTTGGCAGCTCAGCTGGCTTAAAGGCTGAGTGTGGGTGGGGGTGGGGACGTCAGCCTGTCTGAGCAAAAACCTCTCAACATCTGGCCCGAGGCTGGCACAGTGAGGAAGAAGGGTAAGGGGGACCCCAGCTTCCAGTTAGCTGTGTCCTGACTTGGCAAGGGGTAGGTGGGGGGGGCGGAGGGAGGGGGTCCTGCAGCCTTAGTTTCTCTATCAGGGGTTGGAGGAAGAGAAAGAAAGAGAGGCAAGCTGGCTCAGCAGTCAGCTCCACTGAGCCCAGACCCAAACAAAGGCTGTGTGTGTGTGTGTGTGTGTGCGCGCGCGCGCGCGCGTGGGTGTGTGCGCACGCTCACGCACACGCGCGGGTGCGCGTGTATGCGTGCCCGGGTGCGTGCGCACCCACGGTCCTGGTTACTCCTCACTACAAATGGGACTGTCACAATGGACACAGCTCTCATCTGTTCCTTTCACCCAGGAGTGCTAGAACACCAGCCCCCCCCCCCCCCTCGCCTGACTGGATGGGTTATTTTGTTTACACCTGTCCAGGTAAGCCTACCGAGGCACCTGGGCAGGTGGAATGCTCAAGGCATGTGTCAGGGCACCGGTCTTCCCTTCTAGCCAGCCGAGTGGCTGGCACCTCCCCCCTGCCCGCCCACGGTGTGCTCTCCCCGTGGGCCAGCGACCGTGGCTGGGCACAGAGCACTTGGCAGTGCTCTCATCTCGGACCCCTTGGCCTTCAGGTAGAAACCACTGAACCTCAGGACGTGGTGGTCTATGACCAGAGCACCCGGGACGCCAGTGTGCTGGCCGCAGACAGCTTCCTGTCCATCCTGCTCAGCAAGCTGGACGGCTGCTTTGACAGCGTGGCCATCCTAACAGGTGAGGCTCCCTCCTGGGTCGGCCTGCCTGGGGCTGGGGGCAGCAGGGCGGGTGTGTCTGCTGGGACAGGGGGGCCTGGGATCTTGGTACCACCCGCTGACTGCCCATATCAGAGCTGTTGCGGTATGGGCCTACTTCTACCCCCAGCAGGGGAAGGGGTGGACCACAGGAAGTGCCCATGGCCAGCTTAGTGTAGAGAGGGAGCAGGGGGCCCAGGCATTGATGACAGTCCCTCCACCCTTGCCACAGTCTTGGTAAGAGGGCCAAAGCAGAGAGCCCACTTTCCAGGAACCCAGCCTGGGCCGGCACTGCCCCCAAACTGGGATTCCCCAGAAGGAGTCAGTTGACTGTAGGTTGCCTAGCAACAACCTATTTGATCCTGACTGAGGCCTGGGGGGCCACCACAGGGCCCCTCCAGGCATGCCTGTGCTCCAAAAGTAGCCTCCCCAGCTGGCCTTGGAGTGGAGGCTGGGCAGCCCCCTCCCAGTCACACACTGGCACTGACTCACACCACACACCACTCACGCACACCCACCCACACGCAGTGGCTGCGAGGCCTACTGGAGATCCACCTCCTGGGGAGGCGGCCCAGCGGTGGGACACCCAATAGAGCTGCCTTCCCAGGGATGCCCACCATCCCTGGCCCCAGGAGGGATTTCCACGGACACTGCCACCCAGCCTCTGGAAAACACAGGCCACAGCAGGCGGACAGCATGGAACGCTGAAGGCAGGGTCCCCCCTCCACCCAACAGATTGCCCAGCACAGACTCCTGGTCCTGCCTGGGAGGTGGGCACAGCTTCTGCTCTAAGCTGGCCCTACCTTGACCTGTGAGAAAAAAGGAAGACTTTGAGTAGGGGAAAAGGAAGCCCATGCGTGGAGGAGCGGTTTTCCAGGATCTTGTAGCCAGGCCATGGGTGACCTTTGCTTAGGAGAATGCCAGGGGTGGGTCCTCCCATGATGGGAGGCTGTGGGAGAGGGTGCTGGGGTCCTGCTGCTAGGCCCCTGTCCCAGCCTCACCCCCTCAGGGCAGGTTGCAGAGGGGTCCGGCCCTCCGAAAGGAAGCAGACCCTCACCTAGGAGCCGCTGCAGCTCAGCTCAGACTCCTCTCCAGGAGCCAGTGAGCTTTGCTGTCACTGGTGCCAAGATTACCTGCTTCTCCCACCTGGCTGGTAGGTTTCCAAGGACAGGACCCCTTTTCTTCCAAGGCTGGGCCTAACCTCCCCTAACCTGGCATTTTCTCCCATGCCCATAGTCCCCAAGCCAAGCTGTCTTTGAGGCCAGAGGAGCCCTCACACCAGGCACCAACCATCCATGGTCTGGGCGGGGCATCAATTATCCAGGTCCCTGCCACCTCTTCCGTAGACCAGGACTGGAAAGAACAAGGGAATGGCCAGGGCCCGAGGCCCCTGCCTTCAACCCCAGTCCTAGGAGACAGGGTGGGCCTTGGCTTGGAGTTGTCTCTCGTGCTAGATGCTTTGGCTGAGTCTAGAACCTGAAGCCTCTTTGTCAGGGGAGCGTGTCACCCAAAAGTACATGGGCAGCCCTTATGCAGCTGAGCAGTTCACTTCACCTCCAGGAGTAGTGACCACAGGCCGGGTACTGCCCAGTGTCAGGTCAGCCACGGCAGCACGCCAGCCGGGCCAGGTATGGCCTGGATCCCTCTTCTGTCTCCATGTCCCTCCGCTTCCCTCTGCCTCCCAGCAGCACTGGAAGCTGAAGACATAAGTACGCCGTGCCTGTGGACACAAGTCAGACATTCTAGGGACTGGAACTGGTTTCCTGGCTCTTGGGGGGAGAGGCTCCTTCACCAGCCTGGGGCACAGGGCTTGGGTGTGCGTGGCAGGTGACAGGGCACCTGCGTGGAGCAGGCGTGTGTGCTTCGCGCCAGGTTTCCCTGCTGTTCTGTCATCTGGATGGAGTGGAGCCATGACTGAGCCACAAATACCCCTACAGGCCACGCCAATCCCAGGGGTGATGTCATGCCCAGGGCGGAGGGGGGAGGGGTCCCCTAGGAGGCCTTCCCTCCCGGGCCTGGCACTGGAGACCGTGCCTGGGACTTCCAGCCAACAGGAGGCAGGGAGCAATTGCATCAGCACGGAGGAGGCCAGAGTTGAGCGGGGGCTTCCTGTCTGTGTTGCAGGACCCGTGCCCCAGCAGGAGACCCTGGCTGAGGTCTGAGTCAGCCTCCACTTGAGCCTCATGTGCTGTGTCCACTGGCCACCTGGACCCCGCTTTATGGGCATCACAGCAGCGTCCCCCAGGCCCGCCCCTAACTTGCATGGGGAAGAGTGTGGGCGTGGGTTCAGGCTATAAATGGGCCACAGCACGTGCCCCTGGTGTGGCCCGATGGCCTGCCAGGAGTAGTCCAGGTGCTCAGGCCAGAAGCTCAGCAGGGCGCAGCCACAGTGGTAGCTAGTGTCCTGGCCTCACTCCCACCTCAGCCAGCCAGCTGTCTGACCTGCCTCTGCATCTCCTCTGCGTCTCCTACAGGGGGCTTTGCCACCTTCTCCTCCTGCTTCCCCGGCCTCTGTGAGGGCAAGCCTGCTGCTCTGCCATCCATGAGCCTCTCCCAGCCCTGCCTGCCTGTTCCCAGTGTGGGCTTGACCCGAATCCTGCCTCACCTCTACCTGGGCTCTCAGAAAGATGTGCTGAACAAGGTGTGTGCGTGCGGGGCCGCGGTGCGGGGTGCCAGTGGGTCCCAGGAGAAGACAAGGCTGCTCGGCTCGGAAGCGGCTCCTGAGGGGGTGGTAGGGAGGGCAGTGGATGAGGGGGGGGAGCATTGGGTGGGGGCACTGGGAGACCCAGGACCCCTCCCCAGTAGGACCTCAGCCAGGCTTGGGGGAAGGGCCCAGGTGGGCTGGTAGAGAAGCAGGCTTCTAGGGCCTTCCACAGGGGCCCAGCCTGCATGCTGGGCTTGGGGGAGGGGCCAGGAGGGTGGGTAGAGAAGCAGGCTTCCAGTGCCTTCCGCAGTAGGTGGCGCCTGCATGCCAAACTGCTGCTGTCACTGGGCCCCTGGCCAGCTCAGAAAGAATCCTGAGTTTTAAAAATGGTGAGGAGGGACCAGGGTGAAGCCGCCGCCCAGGGAGGCGACTCCAGGCTGTGGGTGGAGCTTGGAGAGGAGGCCAGCCCATAGCACAGTCCTGGCTCCCCAGCCAGAGTGGAGGGGGGCTGCTGGTCTCAGTCCCCTCCTCACAAACCCCAGCACATCCCAAGATCCCGAGTCTCTTCAGGCTGCAGAACAGAAGCGCTCATCCCCCCTGCCTCCTCTGCCTCCCACCTCCCACCTGTCCCCCGTGCCTCCAGGATCTGATGACCCAGAATGGAATAAGCTATGTTCTCAATGCCAGCAACTCCTGCCCCAAGCCGGACTTCATCTGCGAGAGCCGCTTCATGCGCATTCCCATCAACGACAACTACTGTGAAAAGCTGCTGCCCTGGCTGGACAAGTCCATCGAGTTCATCGGTGAGGAGGCTAGGGATGAGGAGGCGGGCAGGGCGGGGGGCCTGCTGGAGGAAGGCTGGCCTGAGGCCCTGGCCTTGCTCGGGCACCGGGGGGACCCTGAGGAGTAGCGGGGACTGTTGGTGGGGAGAGGGCAGGGGCTTCTTCCTGGTGTGGGGGGGGGGGCAGGGGGAGAGACACAAAAGTGCAGTCTCAGCCCTCACTCAGCTGGTTGCCCCCAGATAAAGCCAAGCTGTCCAGCTGCCAAGTCATCGTCCACTGTCTGGCCGGCATCTCCCGCTCTGCTACCATTGCCATCGCGTACATCATGAAGACCATGGGCATGTCGTCGGATGATGCCTACAGGTACCCTCCGAAACCCCAGGCCCCGGCATGCATCCTCCCTCCCTCCCTCTCTGCACCGGTGTGCCCCAACCTGGCGCCCAGGCGGAAAGAGGGGCGCCCACGCCCTGCCCCAGACAGGGCTGTGTGCGTGTCCGAGGAGCGCAGAGCGGTTGTGGCCAGCCGGCCTGACTGCCGTGCCTCTCCCAGGTTCGTGAAGGACCGGCGCCCCTCCATCTCCCCCAACTTCAACTTCCTGGGTCAGCTGCTAGAGTACGAGCGGAGCCTGAAGCTGCTGGCCGTCCTGCAGGGAGACCCGGAGCCCCTCCCGGGCCCGGCTGCGGGCGTCCCGCTGCCCCGGCTGCCCCCATCTACCTCAGAGAGAGCCGCCACGGGGGGCACCGCCGCCGGGGCGGCCGTGGAGGGCGGCGGGGAGGCCGTGGCCGCCCCCCCGGCCACCAGCGTGCTGCAGCAGGGCCTGCGCGGCCTGCACCTCTCGGCTGACCGGCTGCAGGACACCAACCGCCTCAAGCGCTCCTTCTCCCTGGACATCAAGTCGGCCTACGCCCCGAGTGGGCAGCCGGACTGTCCCGGGCCCCCGGACCCCGGTGAGGCCCCAAAGCTCTGCAAGTTGGACAGCCCGTCGGGGGGCGCGGCCGGCCTGCCCTCCCCGAGCCCGGCCGACAGCCCCAGCCCCGGCCCGGAGGGCGGCGCTCCAGAGGCCCGGCCCCGGCCCCGCCGGCGCCCGCGGCCCCCTGCTGGCTCCCCAGCGCGCTCCCCTGCGCTTGGCCTGAACTTCGGGGACGCGGCCCGTCAGACTCCGCGCCATGGCCTCTCCGCCCTGTCGGTGCCCGGGCTGCCTGGCCCCGGCCAGCCATCCGGGCCCGGGGCCTGGGCGCCGCCCCTGGACTCCCCGGGCACGCCGTCCCCCGACGGGCCCTGGTGCTGCAGCCCCGAGGGCGCCCAGGGCGCGGGGGGCGCCCCCCGGTTCCCGGCCTCGGCCTTTGTCCGGGTGGGCACACCGGGGCCCGGGAGCAGCGGCAGCGGCGGGGACCTGCGGCGGAGGGAGGCGAGGGCAGAGCCCCGGGATGTGCGGACCGGCTGGGCCGAGGAGCCAGGCCCCGAGGCGCAGTTCAAGCGGCGCAGCTGCCAGATGGAGTTCGAGGAGGGCATGGCCGAGGGGCGCGCGCGCTCCGAGGAGCTGGCAGCCCTGGGCAAGCAGGCCAGCTTCTCGGGCAGCGTGGAGGTCATCGAGGTGTCGTGATCTCCACGTCGTGACCTCCGCGGGCCCTGCGTGCGCATGCCAGGGCCAGGAGAGGTAAATGGTTCTGACCGCCGTTTTTATGGAGACGTGACTATTTCGACTTTTTTTTTCTAATTTATTTAAGCTGTTCACTCTGGCCGTGATTTGGAGGCAGTGCAGGGCGGTCCTCGAGCTCTGTTTTTACTGTCTGGTATTTAAACTGAAATACACGTGTCTAAGCAATATGAGGCCACCTTCAGTCCCAAGCGGGGCTGGGTGCCAGACCCCGGCCCCTGCTTGCCTCTTGCCCGGAGAGGGGCAGGGGGAGACCATTACTGACCTTGCAAAGAGCTGCCCGGCTTCCTGCACTTTTTACATAAAAGAAAATTTAAAAAAGAAAAAGAAAACCTTTGCCACAACTGAGCCGCAGAACCTCCCTTCCCACCCATCGTCCCCTCTCCTCTCCTCTGCCTATCTTCTTCTCTCTTGTCTCGGGCTCTGCACCAAAGCCATAGGTAAGGGTAAGGCAGTCCTGCTGTGCTGTCTGAGTCTCCCCGGGCCTTCCCCACGAGCTCAGGGGCCACGCCTCAGCAAAGTGGAGGCCCCCTCGCTGTCCTTCACCCCAGAGCTGTGCCCTGGCTGATGTTGACAGACAGAGGCCCTGTGGGGCCAGGGAGCTTAGCAAAGCAGGTTCCTAAGAGTCAGAAGACGCAGACCCCAGGGTGAGGATGGGGCGGAAAGGCCCCTGCTCCTGCCTGAGACAGGTCCAGGTCTTCAGAATGGCCCAGAGAGGCCGTTCAGAGGAAGCACACCCTTCTTGCTCCTTGGCAGGTGCCCCCAACCGCCCCCCTGCCCATATGAAGCACAGGGAAAGCTCACTTGGCCAAGGAGCAAGGCAGGCCTCGGAGCAAGGCAAGCTCGTGCCAACTCCACGGGCCCAGGAGTAAGGGCATGGAGCCAGGGCCTGGCCTAGGCTCTTTCCCCAACCCGGTGCCAGCCCCAGGCAGGACTTGGAATCCAGGGGCACAGCTGAAGCTTGGGGGTCTCATGGGCAGGCCTGCCCTGCCTTGCATAGGGAGTTAGGCTCCCACCTGGCTTAGGAAAGTCCGTTTGAGGCAGAGGACTGTGGAAGCATGTGCCAGCGGCGTGCCCATGTCAGCCTGATCTTCAGGGCACCTCTGTGTGTCCTTGCCCAGAGTGCACTCCCAAACCCTCCAGGGGGTCGGCCAGCCTCCGCCCCAGGTGGCGCTTTTTGGCCCCGTAGGACCAATCGGGGAGTGAAGGCAGGAGAGAATTCCCAGCCGCCCCTGCTTTCCCAGCGAGAAGGGCCCAGGAGGCTGGGTCGCCTGGAGCCCAAGGCTTTGGGGCGGGATAGAGGTCCCTGCTCCTCAAACATCTAGTGGGGCCATCACGTTGGGAGGAAGCTAGGGGCGGGCAGGTGGCAGGACTGAGTCCAGGAGCAGGCCTGGGTGGCGCTGCCTGCCCCTGCTGCCTCCTCACTGTGTCCCTTTATTTGTTCTTCTTTTGACCCCCAGCCCTGTGTTCCTGTCACCCCTTCTTAAGCAAACGTCCTGTTCCACCTCCCTTTGTCCCACCCACCCTGCTCCTTGAGAAAATAAGCTATCATTGTTGTATTTGCAATCTATGGATTAGAGGTTTAAGTATTTATTATTATTATTATTGGTTAATTATTATTATTAATTATGTAAATTTGCCTCCTGTCTCTTACGTTGGGTTTCTGAGGTGACCTTGGGTGTGGAGGATGCACTGGCTCCCCCCTCCTTGCCCTTCACCCCTCTGCTGTCCAGGAGACAGTGCCCTGGGACCACTGGTTGGGCCCCAAACCTCTGGGGCAGGTCCCGTGGCCCCTCCCCTCTCCCTGATGAAGCATGCCTTCTCTCCTGAGCACATTGGGCTCTCCAGCCTCAATCTGCCCCTGCTCTTTCCACACTGGTCACCCCAAGATGAACAGCCAAGGCAGGAGAGAAAGTCCAGTCTTAGCTGCCGCCACCTCCAGTGTGTGGAGGGAGGTGAGGCATGAGACTTCTACCCACTCTCCTAAGTTTGGAGGGCCTGGCAAGCCCTCTCCAAGCCTTTCCAGCCCCTCCTACCCCTTCTGCCTGGCCACCGCCTGGCATTGGGGCTGCCCAGAATGGACCTAGCCCCGCCTGTTATTTGCTGGAAAGTCCAGCAGAGAGAAGTATCTGGTCCTCTGCCCAAGGCTCCTGGTCCCTGAGGACTGGGGTGCTGGCTCACCCGTCCCCCCAGAACCCGCCCCAGCTAGCCCAGCTGCACTTTCCTCTTCCCTCCTTTTGTATTTGGAAACAATGTGTTGTTAATAAATCCTCAGACAGATGTTTTCCCCAGGTCTCCACTGCCTCTTTCTTCTGGCTGGGGTGGTGGGCAGGGGTACGGGATGGTGGGCCATGTGGAGGCTCCCCGAAGCCAGGAGCCTGGTGGTCAGATCTGCAACACCTACTTGCCAGGTGGGCAGAGGAGAGGGTGCAGAGGGGCAGAGCCTGAGGCTTGGGTTGGGTTGGCCGGGCACAGGGAAGGCACAGGCCTTGGGAACAACCATGTGATGGAAACTGCTTTTCTTTTTTAACCTGCTAGCACAAGTTTGATGTAACAAAACTATGCAACTTAAAACTCAGTTTGAAGCTGGGCGTTGGTGACTCATGCCTGTAATCCTAGCTACTCAGGAGGCTGAGATCTGGGGATCATGGTTTGAAGCCAGCCCCAGCAGGAAAGTCCATGAGATTTTTTTTTTTTTAATTGTCAAGGTGATGTACAGAAGGATTACAGTTTTACATAAGTAAGGTAGTAAGTACATCTCTTGTTGACCTTGTTACCCTTCCTTCATTTTTCTCCCGCTTTCCCTCCCCCCAAAGGTGAGACTCTTAATCTCCAATTAAAAAAAAACAAAAAAAAACTACTCAGAAAAGCCAGAAATGGTGCTGTGTCTCAAGTAGTAGAGCACTCACCGTGAGCAAAAGAATCTCAAGGTCAGCACCCTGGTCCAGAGTTCAAGCCTCAGGACCAGAAAAAACAAACAACTCACCTTGCCTGTCACCTGCTCTCACTCCCAGTTCCCCCCACCCCCTGGAAACCGCTGGATGCATCACTGAACGGTGCTGGTCGCCACTCCAGGCTTGTGCCTGTGCACAGAGGCTTGAAACACATCTGCAGGGTGACCCTTGCACACAGTCAGGATCAGAAGCAAACCAGGCTATCTGGCGGAAACCCTGCCACGTGCCTCCCACCTCCACCCCCAGCCGCTGACCTCCTCTCCCCGGAGGCGCTGTGGCTCTGCCTTGCTAGTGCAGACCAGGCGCTTGGGTGCAGTGCTGCATTGCCCCGAGAACCTGTGTGCACCCTCACGGGACAGACTTACAGACGTGGCTTTCTGGGTCACGCGGGGCACTCGCTGTGTGCCAGCCGCAGCTCGAGGTGCGGTGTGGACATTTCCAGAAGACATCTGAGCTGACCGTGTCCTGAGCACAGCTCCCCTCTATGGCAGCGTCCTCTCAGTCCCTATCCCAGGACCCTTCCCGCTCTCCCAGTGGACAGAGGTTCAAACCCAGACACTAGCCACCCCTCCGTGAGTCCAAGCGTGTGTGTGTGTGTGTGTGTGTGTGTGTGTGTGTGCACTAGCCACCCCTCCATGAGTCCAAGCATGTGTGTGTGTGTGTGTGTGTGCGTGTGCACACGTGCGCACGCTTACGCTAGGATAGGGGAACAGGGTGAGGCTGGCCCTTCTGGAGGGAGAAGGAAGGGTTCCTGAGTCCTGCATCCCCAAGAGTCCTCAAAAAGGACGAAAGCTAGAAGCAGTCTGCCTCTAGCATGGCTATTTTTAGCTCAAGAACATCTATTTATAACCCTGGCAGCCCCTAGGAGTCAATAAAACCAAGGACTTGAGAAATGCTGCCGGTTGTTCTGAAGCACGCGGGCTGCTCCCCTGCCCCCAGCAGGGCACAGGAGCTCTGCGGCTGCAGGAGCTCAACCAGGGCCGCCTCTCCTGGGAGGATCAGCTTGGGCTCTAGGGCCTCAGGACCCTAGTAGCAGTGCAGGACTTTGTAGGAGAGCCAAGGGGGTGTCACTGCCTCAGCCAGGCCTACTGAAGTCAACCTTGCCCAGGGCTGTACAAGAGCTAAATGCACTAGGAGAACTCCAGACTCCTCCTACATTGTGGCTACTCAGGCCTCCCCCCACACACACAAAGTCTTGACCCCTGGCATCCACTGTCTCCCCTGCCCCCCAGGCCCAAAACGGAGAGCACTTGATGGTTTTCATTTGCTTACTTTGAGAGAGGGTCTTGCTATGTAGCCCAGGCTGACCTGGTATTGGCAATACTTTTAGCTCAAGAGTGATCTTGAGTTCCAGGCAGGACTATTTATCTGCCGAATGGGTTTGGGGTGGAAGGATGAGGGAGAGCGATGGCTGATGGGAGGATGGGTAGACTGGCAGCTGTTAGGGTGGGTAGGGCGGAGAGCTGGCTGGCTACCTGGCTAAAGCTGGACTTGGGGCCCCAGTCACTGCAGAGCTCCGTGGAGGACCCTTGGAAGAGCGGAGCAGTTGTTCTCAGTGCCCCTCCAGTCCAGACTCATACGGGCGGGGTCCTCAAGGCAGCTGAAGGCTCTGCAGGAGCAGACTCGGGCAGGAGCACACAGTAGGCCTCTTCCCAGCATGGAGTCCAGAGGGCAGCTTGTGGCCCCTGAGGGCTAGGCTGTGTTTGGAACGCTGGGGTTAAACATACAGAAGGGACACTGCAGAGGGTCACTCAGTGGGAGAAGTGGCAAAGGACAAATCACACCTAGAGCTACCCAGAGGCTGGAGACCTCCTATCTTGGCTCTCGAGGGCAGAAGGGATGGGTGGGGTGGGTATTCTGCGAAGAACCTGGTTCATCTTAAGTGTGGGAGGCCCTCCCATTAAGGGGAAGCCATGGAGCCTTTGAGAGGTCTGAACCATATAGACACAGGCAGCAGCTATGTTGTGGAGCTGGCATGGGCACCGGGGAAACACAATTGCCTTCCTGGTCAGCCTGGGGTTAGGAGGAGCCAGTCAAATCACAGGAAGGCAGAGCGCTGTCCCAGCTCCACTGCTGGCCCATGAAGGCTGGGAATTTCCAGACATAGTGGGATCTGGAAGGAGACGCGGGCTCCATGAGGTTGCAGTGACGTGGGCCGTATGAAGGGCTGGGCGTGGGGCCAGCCTGCACCAGGCAAGAGGGAGGAAGGCGGAGATATGAGCCAGTTCCTAGAGCTGCGTCCTGAGGAGCCTAGGAGCAAAAATGTGCTTCTTCCTCTGAGATTGCCTCCTCCCGGCCACAAAGCCGGTACCTGCCCTCCTAGGCCCTACCCGCCTAGGCCCTGCCCGCCTGGGCCCTGCCCACCTAGGACCCTACCAGCCTAGGCCCTGCCCGCCTAGGCCCTGCCAGCCTAGGCCCCTGCCAGCCTAGGCCCCCACCCGCCTAGGCCCCCGCCGCCTAGGCCCTGCCAGCCTAGGCCCTGCCAGCCTAGGCCCCCGCCCGCCTAGGCCCCCGCCAGCCTAGGCCCTGCCAGCCTAGGCCCCTGCCCGCCTAGGCCCTGCCAGCCTAGGCCCCTGCCAGCCTAGGCCCCTGCCCACCTAGGCCCCCGCCAGCCTAGGCCCCTGCCCGCCTAGGCCCTGCCAGCCTAGGCCCCCGCCAGCCTAGGACCTGCCTGCCTAGGACCCTACTAGCCTAGACCCTGCCGGCCTAGGCCCTGCCAGCCTAGGCCCCCGCCAGCCTAGGCCCTGCCAGCCTAGGCCCCTGCCCGCCTAGGCCCTGCCAGCCTAGGCCCCTGCCAGCCTAGGCCCCTGCCCGCCTAGGCCCTGCCCGCCTAGCCCCTGCCAGCCTAGGCCCCTGCCCGCCTAGGCCCTGCCCGCCTAGCCCCTGCCAGCCTAGGCCCTGCCCGCCTAGCCCCTGCCAGCCTAGGCCCTGCCCGCCTAGCCCCTGCCAGCCTAGGCCCTGCCCGCCTAGCCCCTGCCAGCCTAGGCCCTGCCCGCCTAGCCCCTGCCAGCCTAGGCCCCTGCCCGCCTAGGCCCTGCCCGCCTAGGCCCCTGCCCGCCTAGCCCCTGCCAGCCTAGGCCCCTGCCCGCCTAGGCCCTGCCAGCCTAGGCCCTGCCCGCCTAGCCCCTGCCAGCCTAGGCCCCTGCCTGCCTAGGCCCTGCCCGCCTAGGCCCTTGCCAAAAGCCAGGCAGGTGTCCGGTCAGTTCCCCTCAGCCTTTGCAAACCCAGAAAAGGTTTTGTCTAGCTTCAGAGCCTCCTAGTGTCTGCGGTGCTAGAGGTGATCTCAGGGGAGGGAATGGCCTGGGAGAGAAGGCTGGGAAACGGTTGATCCCCGAGGGGAAGGACAGAGGAAGGAGCTCTGGGGTGTGCGAAGGGAGGCAGAGTGCACAGACCGAGGCAGTGGAGGCATAGCCACTGGCCAGCCCAGGGCTGGGAACCATAAAGCCTAGTGCTGGGATCCAAGGGGAAAATGCCTCTTACCCTTTTCCCACCATGAATCACACATCGGCGTGGGGTTGGCCACAGGGCCGGCCTGGGTGGCAGAGGGCAGCCTCTCTGGCTGACGCAATTGTTGGACACAACTATAAATAGCTGAGGGGAGCCTGAAATAGAAGTGAGGAAGGGATGGGGACCGGAGTTGTAGAGTCTCATGGAGAGGAGCCTGCCTGAGGAGGAATGAAGCCCTGCGGTGGTCCACAGCCCGCCCCAGGCCAATGGGGCGCTTGCACCTGACATGCTTGGGGGAGCAGGATGCCGTCAGGAGCTCTGCACAGCTGTACCCGGATGGGGACTCGCAACTGACCTTCTGGTTACCAGGGTGGGAAGGGGTGGGGACTGGCTTCCACCACAGCTTCCCACCTCGGGTCCCTGTTGGGCACAATAGCTCCTTCTGTCCTCAGGACAAGCGACCCCTCCAACCGCCCCTCAGGTACGGTCATGGAGGATGCTTGGCCTGCTCAGAGCTTGGCAGAAAGGAGGGCCTTGTACCTCCATGCTCTGACCTGCGCCTGGCTCAGGTCAGAGGTAGAAGTGGGAAGATCTTGTCTACCTGTGCAAAGAAGCATGCGGGCCCAGCCAGGCACCTGCAGATGGCACCAACTAGTGCCCAGGAGTGAAGAGGACCCCAGGACCCCCTCCCCACCAGCTAGGCAATGTCTTCATCCCAGGTTCCCACCACGGTCCTCCCCTTGCCTGGGGATTCCCTACCTGGGCAGCAGCTCCCTCCTCTCAGCGAATGGTCACCTGTGCAGAGCAAGGTGGGCTAGTTTCTGGACAAGTGTTAGGAAGAGGAAGTGGAGGATGCCAGC